ACATTTTTTTTCAGCTCGCAGAGCGCCAGGTCACCCTAGAGGGAGGTGGGCAGCGGGTGGGGGGTGACGGAAAGGGGCCTGGGCATGCCCCGTGGGGAGGGGGCAGAGGGTGACATTTGCAGCGTGCCAGGAGCAAAGACACAAAAGGTCCGACCCGCGCCCACCGTGCGGGGCCGCGGTCGCTCGCCCCGCAACCAGCAGAGGTCGCCGCGCTGCCTGCGCGCCCGGGCGCGGGAGAGGCCGTGCGGACACCGCGCTGCGCCCCGCGGAGGGACCCCGCGCAGCCGAGCACTGCAACGCGCACCGCGGGCCCGGCGGGAGCGGCGGGGATGGCAGGGGCACGGGCACAAACAAGGAGCGGCCGTGCTCCCCCGGCCCGGCCCGGACGAGCGGAGCAGGGACGGACACTGCAGCTCTGGATTTCAGTGAAATTAGCCATTGCTAACGGTTTGCCCCAAACACGTGCCCGGCTGACCGAAGATGCCCGGCTCAGCAGTCTTTCAAACTGCTTGTAGGTTTACTCAACTAGCACAGAATTACAGCTATTATTCCGATAYCCGGTTGCCTACGTATTTAAAGTTATACGTTTACCTAATCTTCTATCTTTAAACATTTACGTAAACACCCCCACATATATGTGTATTGGCAGTGTTTTGGGTGTGGAAGTGATCACCTAGAAGAGCTGCATTTCACAGTTTATTTAAACGTCGAATATGTAAATTAACTGTGTKCGCGTGTTTACAACCATATCTACCTCCTGACATTATCTCGAGATCATTTCAGGGTAGTTATCTCCGCAAGTGGCAACACTGGGTCCCACTTCTTGTTTGAAATAAACCTGGAGGCTGTGTTTGCTCCCTAAGCCTCGGAAAGGAAAGCATCTTGCAAAGAAAGTTAGAAAACCAAGATGGTCCGCTGTTCAGTAGCTCACTCAACAGCAAACGCGATTTTCAGCACTATTTCTTCGCTGTTTCATTGCAACCAGATTTCCTAGTGGAAAATTATTCTGCATTAATAAGCCTTTACTTCTCTACCCAAACTCTTTTGCCTTTTAAAAACATGAGGCATTGAAAACAAGTATATTTTCCTGATGAATAGTGATTGGAGGGCACTTCTACACTACGTTGATGAGGGCGGTGTAACAGTCCGTGTAGAACAGAAGACAAAAATGGATTTAAACAAACCCAAAGAGAACGTTCAAATCAGGGGGTGGAGAGGGGGGTGTCGGAAGAGCATGGGACGGACTCGCTCGGGAACGAATACAGCTCCTCACACAGTCTAAAGGACAGGCACCGAGTACCCGAAGTGGAATCTGCCCTTTGAAAAACATACACAAAGAAATCAGTGCTCATGTCTAAGTTGCATTTTGCCTGGTTTGGGAAACTTTCAGATAACTGTCCTGTGGAACCCGAGGGGCGCCGTGCGCCGCTGCGCAGACGAAAGTGCGGACACCGCACTCGGGCGGCTCTCGGGTGAGGACTCCCCACACCGCCTCCAGGGAGCAGCGCCGCAGGTCCGCTTCGACAGCAAGTCCGCGTCTTCTCCCCCCACTTT